AATGTCCCCAAGCTCTCTGGTATTCCTCTAGACCACACCAATCCTCTAACTCTGCTTTCTTTGGGGACGCTATTCGCCAACACCGTGTCAGGATTTTTTCTCAGTACGAGTCTTTTTCATTTCTGGAAGTTCTGTTTGGTTTATTCCCAAGCCGGCTGCGTCAGTTTTTAATAGTTTCCTGTCCTTTGCAGGCCTTCCTGTCCTGAAGTTTATGTCTTTAATTGAGGTGAGCGGGCCTGACCTGTCTGTCATCCATCTAATGAGCTCACGCTCGCTAGCCAAGAGCACTGGCTTCTGTCTCTGTCACTTGTTGGTTCTCTCCAGCCGTATCCCTGGGTTGTTTACGCCCAGTGGGCTCAGCTGTCTTTGTGCCCATCAAGGACTTCCTGAAGCACTGTTCAGGGTCCCAGGGCCTGAGCTGACTGTGGTAGGAACTGTCCCTGGCCACGGCCACAGGTGAAGCCATCGCACCTTCACAGGTGGTTTTACTCCTCTTTCTTCTTCGTCTTCTTTCTCCAAGCTCTGTAGGGTGACTCAGAGTAGCAAGCATGCTCACGAGAGTGTGGGGTTGTTTGGTGGTGTCTGCCCATTCCCGGGGTGTAAATTCTCCTGTACCCTCAAGCTCTTTAGCATCCACCAACCTCCTGTCCTGGGGTCAGAAGAAAGCAACTGTTCCTTTGTGGGACTCATGAAAGGGGATCTAGTCTTCATGGGAGGGTCCCTAGCGTGTTCCTTCCCACCATGGCTGGGTGGCTGTTGAAGCCAGCTCAAGCCGGGCCTGGTTCCTACCACACCCTCTGAAGACATGGTTCTAGTGTCCTCATTGGATCTTCATTCGCTGTCATGGCATGCCTTGCAGCTCCCTGCCCTGGTACCAGCTCTGCAGAATCTTGAAGGCAGTGCATTAATCATTTTTTTTTTCTAATTGTAGCCAGCATTTTTGTTTTGTTTTGTTTTCCATGGAGGATTGCCCTAGTGGGGTGGGGGAAGGGTGTCTCCACCTTAAATGGCAGCAAAGGTGTGACAGGATCTGTCTGCTGATTTCTCTGTTATCCAGCAGGCTTCAGGCAAGGGGCTGGAGAGAAACACGCCCAAGGCCTGTCCCTGACAGATTCTTGGCAAATGGCAAGTGAGGCTGTCCACCCCTGAGAACCAGTTCATGGCTCCACAGATCCCGAGGCTCAAATCTGAGGCTAGAGTTAAGAGGACATTCCCCTAAGGGTGGGTAGGCACCAACCCATTCTTGCCATGGACTCCGGGTCTCCCTCACACTGTGAACATGGCTAGCAGAACCCATTACTGTGGGCATGCCAGTTAGCGGGCAACCCTTCCCCACCCAGGCCCACACTAGTGGCAACATATTCCAACCCCGGGGACTGTGCCTCACCCTCTGGGAGCTGTGTGGGTGGAGGAACACAGTGAGCATGGCAAGTGAGCACCAGATTGGGTTCCCATGCCACACCTGCTGTTCAAACACCTGGATCAAGTGTCTACAGATCTTACCAGCCTCTCACCAGCTATAAGGGTACGCTGAGGCAGATCAGAAGGTCTGCGAGAAGGTGGGACTGGGCCAGATGCTTAAGCTGTCTCCATCTGGTACACAGTAGGCACTTAGTACAGACTGACTGCTCCCTTTCCTCTGTCAATCACTCACTGAATACGCTGTGCCCTGGGCAGTCAGCCATCCTAGGTGCACACTGGAGCAGAGCCATAGGTCTCAAGCTCACATCTATTGAGGCAGCCATTGCCAGTGGGGAAAACCAGGTGGGAATCAGGGCATCGGACAGGTTGGGCATTGCCTTGACTGCTGCTACACAGGGCTTCAGGCACAAGGGTGAGGTGCTGTCTCAGCCACATGAACCCTTCATGGGACCTCTGCAACTTTGTTTTTGTTTTTGTTGTTGTTGTTTTGATTTTTGTTGTTTTCTTGTTGTTGTTTTTTCATCCCTGCCCCCTTATTTTTCCTTCTGTGTTTTGAGACAGGGTCTCATGGCTAGCTTTGACCTTGGTATGTAGGTGAAGCTGCTTTGAACTCCTGACTCTCCTTCCTGTCTGGGGTTACAGACATGTACCACCTGTGTGGTCAAAGATCTAGTTTACTTTTCTTTTGTGTTTGTTTGTTTGTTAATTTTTGAGACAGTTTCACACTATAGTCCAGGCTAGCATCATGGGACACCTTTTGAACTCATAACAGTTCTTCTACTTCAATTTTTCAAGTGCTGAATGTCCTGGAACCAGTTCTAGTAAAGTCGGAGTCCTTTCATTCGGGGCTCAGGATAGAAACCTAACTCCTCAACTGCGCGCTATATGGAGCTAGGTGGACTGACCTAATCCTCCCCACATCTTTAGCAGGGGACTTCTTGGGGACCTGTCCCTTCACGGATCCCTGTAGTCTAGCTAGGTTATGCCGTCCCTGGGGTCTTATGTCCGTAAGTTTGTGGTTTCAAAAGTCTCAGCACAGTGATCAGGAGTAGGGACAGAACTTAGTCTTTCACAGCCTTTGGCTATGACTGAAGGACCTGGCCATCCCCCAAGCTCCTCCTACTGCGGGAGGGCTGTGGTCAGGCTGGGTACCACATTTTTAAAAACATCTTAGTGTATTTTTGCTAAATGGGTCCCACGACCCCTTCACCAACCAGATGTTTCCTTGGGAAAGACCCGGGCACTCACGTCAGCAGGGCCCGCTTTCCCAGGGATGCTGGGACTGCAAAGAATATTTTGGGTCTTAGCGTGCGGGCGAACACTACATAGAGATTAATCTTGGTCTATAGTGGAAAAGCTAGCCTCCACCACTTGTGAGCCACAACAGACATTTCCCCCTGACTCAGGGGTGTCCCATGACATCAGCCTGTGAGTCACTGGGGCTGGGGACTCTGTGACAGGGCTGGCCAAAGCAGGAGTGGCCTAGCTTGCCTTGGAGCCAGGCTGAAGCTGTACTCAGCTGCTTCAGTCCCTTGTGTTGACTTTGCCTGTGGACCCAAGGCTGGGGCTCAACTGCTAAGGGTACCAGAGGACTTTTGTCTGCAAACCAGACCTCATATCACCTGCCTTATAGATGAGGGAACAGGGTCAAGAGAGGTTAAGACACTTGCCATAGACCACACAGGTCTCCCAAACGCATCCCATCTATACAAGGGGGCAGCAGAAGGACCATGGATTTCTATCCTATCTGGGGTGCTTTCTCTGTCCTGGGATGATATCTGTCTCTTCAAAGGAGAAGACCAAGCCTGTAGCCAAAGCCGTCTATCCCTGGGCTCTGGCCTGAACTATCATGCTTATCTGTGACAGAGTCTCGATTAGCCCAGCCTTGCCTGGCATTCCCTAAGAGGCTGAGAATGACTTTGAACTTCTGACTCTTCTGCCTCCACCTCTGGAGTGCTGATATTACAGGCACACCAACACTCCGCCCAGTTTATGGGGTACTGGGGGTTGATCCCAGGGCCTCATGCACACCAGGCAAGTGTGTCCCCAACCTTTGTCACGTCTCCATCATGGTCTACCTCTTCCCACCAGGTGCTCCACTCTGCAGTGTCAGCTCTGCAGTGTCACCAACTTTTTGACTTTAGGTCTAGACAAATGTGTTTACTTCACCTGTCTCAGATGCTTGATTAGTTTGTTTGTTTGTTTGTTTGATTGATTGATTGATTGATTGATTGGGTGAAACTCACCATGTAGCCCAGGAAAGCAGACTAGCCTCAGAAACAATCCCACTCAGCTTCCCAGAATTTTTTTTCTTATAGGCCATCCTCAGATGACATTGGCCTGTTAGGTTTTGGCCATTAGCCCACGGCACACCTGTGGTCTGGGCCACTCACTCAGCCTGTGATCCTGGGCACAGAGGAGGCAGGTCACACTGGCTGCTCCGTACCTCATGGCAAGCCCCTTCAGGTCTCAGAATTGTGGGCCAGAGAGTTCTGTAGACACTTGGGGCTGAGCTCCAGTCTGCCATGAAAGGTCTTGTGAAAGCTCTGGGCAAGGTCCTGCATGTTTGTGTGACTATGTAGACACCTGTCCCTTGACAAAGGCCCCTTTCCAAGGAACCAGGTGTGGCACTTCTGCCATTGGGGAAGCACAGCTTGGGTCTGAATTGGCAGCAGGAACTTGAAGCAACTGGCCACATCACACCCACAGGCAGAACAATGAGTTAATATATGTGTGCTTTCCTACTCATATACAACCTAGGATCCCAGGCCCAGGGAATGGTGCCATCCACAGTGGGCAGGCCTTCCTATTCATCAAGACAGTCTATTACAGAAACATGTGCACAGGCCAGCATGAAGTTAGATTGTGTCAAACTGACAAAACGAGCCATTACACTTGTCTCAAGTCAAAGCAGCACCGCAGGGGGACCTGGACTTGAACTCTTGGTTTCCCTGTGTCGGCCTCTTTAAGGATAACAGTCATAGATCTGTAGGGACGCTGGAGTTAGTCTACCATCAGAGAGAGAACTGCATGACCCCCACAGGAGCTTCTGTCCAGTGAGCCCTGAGAGCCCCAAGTCACGGCTGAGGGCTGTGGACCTGGAATCATGAATGGTCCTCTGTTGTTACCAGGCTTGGGGGGGGGGGGCTCTCACTTAATTCCTGAAAATTTCCTAAGTGTTTTAGACCCCTAAGGTCCCTCCTGGCTGTGACCAGAGAACCTCTGGATTCTTGCATAAAGTGCTGTGTGTAAGAAAGGTTCCTAGCACCCGATGGTGGTGGCACACCCCTTTAATCCCAGCACTTGGGAGGCACAGGCAGGTGGATCTCTGCACAGGCAGAGTTAGAAGCCAGCCTGGTCTACAGAGTGAGTTCCAGATCCAGGACAGTTGGGACTACACAGTGAAACCCTGTCTCAAAAAAAGAGAAGAGAAAGGTGCCTAGCCATGGTGAGTATTGTCAGGACATGGCTGGTGCCAAGATAAGGCAGACACACCTAATCAGTCACAACTGGGTATCAAGGTGAAAGGGGTCATAGCTGCCAAACACCCTGACCACCAGCCCTTTTTCTCTCTGTAGACCAAAATCCACGGTGTCGGCTTTGTGAAGATCCATGCACCCTGGCATGTGCTCTGCAGGGAGGCTGAATTTTTGAAACTGAAGATGCCCACAAAGAAGGTAGGTAGGAATGTTTATATTTCAAAATACTAGTCTTGGTTTGAGGACATCCCAAAGCAGAATCATCTCCACAAACTCCTAATCACTGAGCAAGGGGAGATATTTCCTTTCCCCCATGAGACCTCTATCCCTGCCAGGGTGGTCTTTAGAGACTCTAGGCCAGGGCTAGATAGATGCCTTAGCAGTCAGACTGCTCTTGTAAGAAAACTGGATTTCAGATTCCAGGACCACATAGGGCTGCTCACCACTGCCTGCAATGTCAGTTCCAGGGGATTCAGCGCCCTCTTCTGGCCTTTTCAGGTACCTGTACACAGATGTACATAAACACACAGGCATGCACACAGCCTTAAAAAAAGAAAAGAGTAACATTTAAGGCCCCACCCCACTGGGACACCAGGAGAAGGTCCAGGCAAAAAGCTGCCCACTCTGTCCCAGGAATTTGACCTGAACAAATATAGTTCAGTTTGAGGCCTTGCTTCTTTGATGCTTGTGGGGTCTCAGATAATTTATCAGATTCAATTTAATTACATTTTCTAGCTTGCTGGGATTTTTCCTTTTAATCTCTGAAAACTTTATGGCTGAAGAGCAGCCTGCCAGGGAAGCTGGGCTGAGAGTCCATATTTATGTGTGGGGTGGGAGGGAGACGTTCAATGCGGCTTCTCAGATCCACTGAAGCCGCTTGGATTACAGCTTTGGAAACAAAAAGACATTTGGGGCAAATGTTTTCTAGAATGTGTTATAATTGAGCTCTTGGCCCAACTCTCCTAAAATGCTGGGTCCTTTGAGTAAGCCTGACACAGCAGATAGAGGTCCGCCAGCTACCCAGGCGCTCTGTTCCCAGGAAGGACTGACTATACCATTGTGTGGTATTTTTCTGACCATCACAGAAAAGAAGACTTAGTTACTTTACACATTACCCTGACCAAAGCTACTTAATGAAGGAAGAATTTATTCGCTTCAGTTTAGGGAGACCCAGATCATAATGGTGTGGAAGGCATGGAGCAGGAGTGGGGGATGGCCGGTCACATTGAATCCATGAGCACGAAGCAGAGAGAGGAACGCTGGTGCTCAGTTCACTTTCTTCCTTGTGTTCAGGCTGCGACCCCAGCCCATGGGATGATGCCATCCGCATTCAGGGTGGGTCTTCCACCTCAGCCCAGTCTAGAAACTTCCTCCAAGACACGCCCAGAGGCTTGTTTTCATGGTGATTCTAAATTGTATCAAGCTGACAAGAAACATTACCAGCTTTTACAGAAGTCAGAACGCAGTAGAGGGGCTCATGTCTCTGCCTGGTCTTGCCCACAGGTGTACCACATCAGTGAGACCCGAGGTCTCCTGAAAACCATCAACTCGGTTCTGCAGAAGATCACAGACCCCATCCAGCCCAAGGTGGCTGAGCACAGACCACAGACTACAAAGAGGCTCTCCTACCCCTTTTCCCGGGAGAAGCAGCATCTGTGAGTCAGAAGAACAGGTTGATTCCCAGCTGCCCCCACACAGGGGAATGTGTTCTTATAGTACTTCGTGACTCCTCAGCCCAGAAGAGGCTGAGGAAGCAATGTCTAAGGGCCCTGGGCACAGAGCAAGGCGATAAAGAAGCTTTGCCTGGCTTGGTAATGCATAGGGAAAACTGCCTGGTCCCTGGCTTGAGCAAAGGTCTAGGCTACACAGACCTAGTTTTGTCCCCTGAGCCCTGGTTCCTTGTCACGAAACCTCAGCAGCCCATGGAGCAGCTGGTAAGGCAGCAATGGACTGATCAAGAAGCCTCCCTCAAGGGAGTCCGAAGGCCCTGGGGCTTCACAGTCAGCAGTGTGTTGCCTGGCAGTGCTGGGTCTGTTCTGGAACCTTCCATCCTCCCTGTTCCCAAGGGGCAGTGGTACATAGCCACCTGGCTCAGGTGGACCAGTTGCAAGGCCTCCCCAGGCCTCGTCTCACTGGCAGAAATGGGAGAAAGGGCTAGGGTACCAGATACCCAGGCAGTTTGGATGGCCAGGCCCAGGAGCAGGTGGCTTTGGGGTGCTGTGGCCTCAAGGATGTCCAGGGGGCAATGAGCATGCACCCACACTTTAGCTCAGAACAGAGGCCTTTGCTTTGCAAAGATAGTGGTGGCTTTTGGGGAGCCACATGCTGCCCTGACTCCACTGGCCAGTCTTTGGTGGACTGGACACACTGCCGTGCGACCTCTGCCAGCTCAGGGGCATGAGAGGTTCATACCCATTGTCCAAATCCTGCTCATTTCCACCCTGTTCTTACTAAGCATCCCAGGGAATGGTGGCTTCAGAGCTATTCTTGTGCCCTAGAAACCTCAAACTATCTCTGTGTGGCCCAGAGCACCTGCATGCAAACCATTTCCTGGGAGCGTGTCCTCAAAGCCGAAGCCATCATGTGGAGGGATGACACTGTCCCTGTCCCCTGACACTGAAACTGGGACTTGAAAGACTGCCTGCCTGGATTTTAATTTCATCCAAACCAGGCTTGGCTGAGCATGGTCGTACCTGCCTTCTATCCCAGTGCTGAGAAGGTGGAGGCAGGGGGATGAGGCTTTCAAGGCCATCCTCAGCTACACAGCCAGTTGAAGACCAGCCTGGGCTACATGAGACTTTGTCTCCAACAAAACAAAATGACAAACTAGAGTTGGAGGGCACCCTCAGTTGCCTTTCGAGCAATGGTGGTCTCAGAGCACACTAGGCTGATGAGATCAGCTAATGCCCTGCCCGGGGACAGGGGAACCTGTGCCTGCTATGAGGATAGTCGGACCCCTCACGGTCACTGTTATTAGAGACAGGATGAGTTCCCAAACTGGGAGCCTACAGTGGTCGCCTTGTCTCCTTCTGTTCCTGCAGATTCGACCTGACTGACAGGGACTCCTTTTTCGACAGCAAAACCCGGAGCACAATAGTGAGTAGGCGTCCTGGAATTGCTCGTCAGAGGGTGCCCTGGGGACCCTGGTGATCATTTCATTTCTCCGGAACTCCTCGGGGTGGAAGCCGGCTCTAATTGCCTGTGACAAAAATAATTAGAATAATGAATCAGGAGGGCAGTGGGTGGCCCAGGGGAGGGAGGCCCTGGTTGCTCGGTTTGGAGGAGGAGCGTGAGAAAGGATTAAACTGCAGGAAGCTGGGGGAGGGGACCTCCAGGCCGAGCTCCAAGCCTGCAGACCCCCCTGGTCACTCCATTCTGGTAGAGTTTGCAAGGGGCTTGGCCGGCGATGTCTGAGAAGGCCAGGCAGCTCAGCCTTGGCACATGTATTAGTTTAACATCCCAAGGCCTTTGCCAGTGCAGCCAGCCTAGGTTGCAATCTGACCATGCAGGCCACCCTGCCCTACTCAGGGCATTGGCTTAGTGTTTATCCTTCAGCTGCCAGTTTGACTGCCAGCCAAGCTGGGACTGTGCATGGCACAGGACCCAACTCCTATCTAAACAAGAAATCCGCCTGGCGGCTAAGGCCTGCTCTGTTCTCTCCTGCCTGGAGCACCCAGCCTGGCTGGGTCACAGTCAGGGCTGAGGGGAAGCTGCCCGTTTGCCTGGCACAGGGAACTTCTTGCAGCCGGCACCCTGCAGGAAGGTGGCACAGGTCCTGTTGGTGAAGGAGGCTCAGACCCAGGACAGGCAGGTGTTCCCCTCTGCTGCCTCTTCCCTTACCTGTACCTGTAAGGAAGGCTCTCAAACTGTGCCAGAACAAGACTGATTCTGGTTTGTCCCCCCAGGGGCAGGGTAGCACCCCATCAGCAGTCCCGTGGCGCAGTGTGCTCTTGTTATCATTGGTGCTTTTAATTTTTTGCGTGTTTATTAACTTACTTTTTGAGGGTGGTGAGTACATGTACCATGGTGTATGTGGTAGAGGCCAGGGGACAACCCTAGGGAACTGATCCTCTCCTTCTGGGGATTGAACTCAGACAGTCAAACTTGGCAGCAAGAACCTTTACCTGCTGAACCATTTGGCCTTCCTACTATTGATTAAGTTTGACGATTCAATTTCATGATAATAAGCAACAAAAAACTTGGGCAAAGACATAGCCTCTGGTTAAACTGGTACTGGTGTGTTTGAGGGGCAACCATATCCCCCCCTTGGTCTTTGTTTCTTGCGAGAACCCCTACAGTGTGACCCACAGAGTCTCTCCCACATCACTGTAACAGTTATGTGCCCATGCTTCGGTGTGTGTGTGCCTTGATTTGCACGTTTCCCAGGGTGTCCGATGCCTCTGGAAGAACTTTTGCAAGCATACTTTAGCTGTGGGGAGGTGCCTGACGTGGGAGGGGCTGTGAACAATTCTGACATCTCTTCCTGGTGATTAGCTGTGGGACTGTTTGGTCTGAGATTCCCCTGGGTGTATGCTGCTATTTACATTGAGCCAGAGAGGGCACTAGGGACAGCAGAGGTGGAGAGCCATGACTCTCTTTGCTGCTGGAGGAAGGAAGGAGAGACACTACCTCCCAGAGACTCTGAGGCCAGTGTGTAGACCACCTCTGTGTTCCAAAGGGATTTGCTGATTCGCAGACCTGCATGGCTGGTCAGGTCTCATCTCATGGTTTAGGCCAAGGTGTGACAACCTCTTCCTCCTCACTGGCCACTTCTCTCCTGGCACTGGGGTGGCACATGTACAAGCTATTTGGAGTCAAAGACCAGCAGCTTTAGAGAGACAAGAGCTTCTTGTGCTTGCTGCGATTTTAAACAGTGGTAGAGGTGGATGTGTGGTCACCTGGTGGAGGTGGGTGGATGTGGGGTCACCTGGTGGAGGTGGATGGATGTGTGGTCACCTGGTGGAGGTGGATGGATATGGGGTCACATGGTGGAGGTAGATGGATGTGTGGTTGAAGGCGTAAGCCCGGCTAGCTCAGTCGGTAGAGCATGAGACTCTTAATCTCAGGGTCGTGGGTTCGGGCCCCACGTTGGGCGCCAAAATGAAGGCGTAAGTCACAAACAATGCCACACCAATTCGGGGTTATGATTATTAGGGTGGTATTTATTTAAAGGGGAAAAAACTTACAGATCACTGTCCCAGGCAACAGCCCTCTTCGCAACCAGGAAAGGAGTCTAGTCGCAGGCGGAGCAGGAAGTGAAGAGAGAGAGAGAAGAGGGAAGTGGCCGCTTTTTTAAAGGGAGAGAAACCACGCCCCAGTGGGCTGGTACCTCAGCGGTGATAGGCTGGAGGAGTGGGAGGACCTCCCGCAACATGTGGTCACATGGTGGAGGTGGATGAATATGGGGTCACATGGTGGAGGTGGGTGGATGTGGGGGCACATGGTGGAGGTGGATGGATGTGGGGTCACATGGTGGAGATGGATGGATATGAGGTCACATGGTGGAGGTGGATGTGGGGTCACATGGTGGAAGTGGATGGATGTGGGGTCACATAGTGGAAGTGGATAGATATGGGGTCACATGGTGGAGGTGGATGTGGGGTCACACGGTGGAGGTGGATGGATGTGGGGTCACATGGTGGAAGTGGATGTATGTGGGGTCACATGGTGGTGGAGGTGGATGGATGTGGGGTCACATGGTGGAAGTGGATGGATGTGGGGTCAAGGGTGGTGGAGGTGGATGGATGTGGGGTCACATGGTGAAGGTGGATGGATGTGGGGTCATATGGTGGTGAAGGTGGATGGATATGGGGTTATGGGTGGTGGAGGTGGATGGATGTGGGGTCACCAGAGTACAGATGGATGGATGTGGGGTCACATGGTGGTGAAGGTGGATGGATGTGGGGTCACATGGTGGAGGTGGATGGATATGGGGTTATGGGTGGTGGAGGTGGATGGGTGTGGGGTCACCAGAGTACAGATGGATGGATGTGGGGTCATGAGTGGTGGAGGTGGATGGATGTCGAATCGTGGCTGTCATGACTGTGTGAGCGGAGAGCAGGAGGTGGTTGTGGAATAAGCAGAAAGCCATGACAGGTTAACCAGTTCGACATACAGAGTGACAGAGGGGGTCCTGGAGAGCAATTGAGTAGGGATTTATTAAGTACCTACAGTGTGCTCTCTCCTGGAGGGAGGGAGGAAGTATTGAGAACATCAATCGCAGGGCGGATGGTGAATGACAGACAGTACAGGATAGGACAGAGCTATGTCACAGGCCTTCTAATGTGATCCTGGGACATCTTAGAACTGTGGGGGTGAGTGCTTTTACCAGAGGCTGCAAGAGGGAACTCAAAGCAAGAGGCTAGGGCTGCTGACAGAGGAGCCGAAGATGTAATGGCAGAGCTAGATGGTGCAGGCCTAGAGGCCAGTGGAGGATCACTGGTCTTGCCTGCGTGAACACAGTACAGGGTTTGAGGAGTAATCAGCATGCTCAGAAATCCTCACCTGTGGATCATGGACAGAGCTACACCTGTGCCTCAGCTGGTAGACTGCCTAGATGACAGGAGGCTCTGGGTTCGATCCCCAGCACCCCATAAACCAAACATGTGGTGCACACCTACAGTGCCAGCCCTTAGGAGAGGAAAGCAGGAAGAGCAGAAGTTTTAAGTTGTCCTTGACAATAAATATGTTTGAGGTCAGCCCTGGCTACGTGAAATAAAATGAAACTAATTAGATCATGGTCATTTATTCTAAGCTCATTTTTCACAGAGTTAAATTGAGGCACGGGGGTGGTGGTGCAATTTGCACATGCTCTCCTAACGCAGCCCCAGTCAAACAAGACTCGTCAGCCAGGGCTCCTGAGAACACCAAGCAAAGTATCTCATTAGTCAGTCAGCTATGAAGAGGGATGGGGTCCCTCCATGGGGGCTTGTGTGCCCAGTGTGGTTGGGGCCTTGAGATCCACGGCCACACCTGGCCCCCCTCTGGGCATCTAACCCACACAGAACTGCATGCCAGCTCTCTGCTCCTGCTCTTGCCTCCACAAAGGGGCAGTGAGCTGCTGCAGGGCACCAAGATGGCTATTATATCTCCCATGCCACCCCCGTCCCCTTAGTTCCTAGGAATGTGCCCACTGCACATGACTAACACCTTGTTAGTCCTGCTCCAGGACGTGAAGAAAGAGGGTTCTCTGTGACCCCTATTTCACTTACCTCTGGAAGTTACTTGCTAGAGTCCCAAACCCAGGACCCTCCTGGTGCCCCGTGACTGTGGCCTTTGACTGGCAGAGCAGCAGAGTAACCACTCCCCCTTTCTGTCCCTCCCTCTGTGCTAGGTCTATGAAATTCTGAAGAGAACAACCTGCACCAAGGCCAAGTATAGCATGGGTAAGGACACTCTGTGGATTTGAGGTCAGCGGCTGCTTCTGAGTGGCCTTCTTGCCTCTGAGCCCTCTTAGGGGGGTGGGTGTCTGGCTTGGGGCTTCCTCAAAGAGATTTGATTTAAGCCTATGTTGGTTCAGAACAGAGGCCTGGGAAACTGGCAGAAAAGCCGTGCCAGGGTCCTGTTCCCTGTGGATTTATAGCCAGGCGCTTTACACCCAGAGGTGCTGTGCCCTTGGCTGAAGGTTCTTGTTGGTATAAGGCCAGCTTCCCGCAGAGAGACCCTAAACCATGAAAAAGAAACAGACAAATGGTTCCAAATTCCTCTTTGATTATAAGTTCAACAAAAAAGAATGACAGGGGTGTCCTTTGGGGACCACAGCCCAGTTCAAGGCTGCTGGAAATAGCAGCCCGAGGAGAACAGTGGCCAAGCTGTTGTGTGACCCGACTGAGATAGGCCAGGCTGCGGGGAGGGTTCTTCCAGGACTCAGGGACAGCATGTAGCCTGACTAGTGTGACCCACAGGTGGCCACAGGGACACTCTGAGATGTCCAACTCTATATCTTGATTCATTGGAGTTAAGGACCCAGCCAGAAACCCAGGAGCCCTGTCCCCATTGGCCTGGTCCTTGCACCCTGGGTGAATGGAGGAGGAAGCAAACTCGGGGGTTGTTCAAGTTACCACTGTAAGAGCACAGCTGGGACGAAGCCTCTAGAAGTAGAAAGAGTACGTGACTCCAGTCCAGGTACCATCAGGTCCCGTTCATAGAATTAAATGTGGCTTCCATGAAGGTCTGTAGAGCAGGCTGGACTGGAGCTAACCCCTATTCTAGCTTGATCCTGAGGCAGAGGGGCTGGGTTGGTTCCCAGGCCTTTTTTTTCCTCAAACTTCTCTAGTTCCCTTGCCTCTGTGTAGAAGAGAGAGATCAGGGTGCCTTTGTAACCCCACTTCATAGTGGCACCTGGCCTGGGAGCTCTACTGACCAACGAAGTCACTTAGTGACCCTCTATCGACTAGTGATGGGCTCTTGACCGCCCCTCTCCGTCCCAGGGGCTGCCCTCAGGTACTTGGGTTCTAGGGTAAGGAAACAGAGAAGCTAGCATGCAGTTACACAGATGGGGCTGGGAACGCTAGAGTGATTGGGAGCCATGGTCAGGGAAGGCCTCTCAGATGAGGACAGAGAAGACTTAGGAAAGAGGGTTGGCAAGCCTGCCACACAAACCCAAGCAAGGCCCTGTGGCAGCTCCACTCTGGGTGCATGCTAGGAAGGGTGAGGAGGCCACAGGCCAGGATCCAGCTCCACATACATTTTCCATGTGAGGCGAACTTTCTGCTTCTGAGCGTGGCTTCAGTCACGCACTCTGGCTGCCTCTGGCTGTGATTCCTAAGTGTTCCTCGGTGCACCTGACTGTTCCAGGTCACTATCCAAGGAGATGGTTCTTGAGCCACGTTGCATAGAATCAGCTTACAGGCTGTTGAGAAAAGTTGGCCCACATGGGGTCACTTAGAAAGCCACTCTGCCCTGCAGGGGGTTCTGGGGCAACAGTTGAAAGTCTGGGGGGGACGAGGATCTAAGACATTGTTCCCAAGGATGTCAAAACCAGAGCAGTTTTCCAAGATCTCCTCCATCCCTGGGTTCTCTCTCCTCCCCACCTTCACTAGCAGGGTCTGGAGACAGGCACAGCATCCCTGCAGCAGACAGGCGTAAATGTGACTGTTTTTATTTCTCCTATGCCGGTGTGGGCTCTGGGCCCAGCCAGCAAAGCCCCAGCCATCCTCCTTCGGCCCTGAGCACTTGACCGTGAACCCTTTGCCTCTACCAGCTTTCTTCCCCAAATGTAGCTTTGACCCTTCCAGGCCCTTCTGTGTAACTAATAGCCAATGTGTAAACAGGGCAAGGAGAGGGAAGAAGGAAGGACTCTGCCCTTCTAAGTAAACGGCGGAAGTGTGGGAAATACGGTAAGAGCGGGGCCTCCTCTTCCGCTTCTCCCATCAACTTACAAGCTAATTCCAAATTGTATGTGTGTTTCCTGACACCATCAATTTCCCATCCGTCCATCTTCTCATGATCAGCTTCTCTGACCGCTCGGAGGCCATCTTTCCATCTGCAGACTCTCCCTCAGGCCGGTGGGGGTAACTGGCGAATCCGAGGTTTGGGGGTGACTGAACTGCTCCTGCCTCCTTCCTCAGGGACAGAACTTCCTCTTGGGGTGTGCTCTGCGTCTTCCTAACCCTACCAATCAAGCATGTTGAAATCATCTCTAGTGGATAGCTAACTCGCCCTGCTGCGTTCTACCCCGGGGAAGAACCCCAAGATGGTGACTGGGCTCTAGGTAGCCTGGTGCGTTTGGCTTTGAGCAGCATCCTCCCTGTGAACCGGAGCACCCTGTGATGGCTCTGACTTCCAGATGTGGGCAGCAGGCCTGCTGGTCCTTAACTTCTCTCTACCTCTGTTTTTAAGGCATCACCAGCCTTCTGGCCAACGGCGTATACTCAGCCGCGTACCCTCTGCACGACGTAAGTAACCTTCACACATACTTAATTCTGCATCGTTTGATTCCCCACCCACCCCCAGTCTTCAAGGGCCATGCCTCTTGGGAGCTTCAGTTATCCTGCGGTCACAGCTTCCTGCTTGGCCTTCTCTGTCCCCCTCAGTGGGAGCTGGAAAAGTCACACACAGGGCTGTCTTGGCAGACAGAACAATCCCATGAAAACGGGGAAGACTGTGGGAGAGGCCAGGCTGGCTTCCTCCATACCTCGCAGCCAGCTGATCCACAGGGTGTTTGCCCTGGCTCCAGCTCTGCCACCCTGGGCTCTGGCATTCACCAGGGCTCTGTGTACAGCAAATGACCAGCTTCCTGGGTTGAGTGTCCAAATCCAGCTGGCCTCTCTTTGACAAATTTCACTTTTGCTGTGGCCAGGGGTGAAGAGATAGGGTGAGATAGTCTCCTTATTTTCTTCATGGAAACCGGGATTATGCTGTGGGGCCTGAGGAATGTGTGAGCCCCAGCAGAGGCTCCCTGGAACTCGCCAAATGTAGAGTGTAGCTGGACCAGGAGCCCAGAGCAGAAAGGAAGGAAGACAGGCCTGGGGGTTGGCAGACCGGGATCTCATGCTTCTGCTCTTGCTTCCACTGGCCTTGAGCAGCTTGGTAGGACTAATGTCTATAACAGCAGGACAGATGTGGGTATCAGAGCAAGTCCAGCAAGAAATCACTTTTAGGAGGAGACAGGATTGCTGAAATAGCACAGGGCAATAGGCCATGTGGGGGACTTTGCGGGAGAGGCCAAGCTAGGCTCATCTGTCCCCTCATCTTACCTTCCCAACCCTAACTGGGGCCCTCACCACTCTGTAGAGCTAGGGATTTGGGGTCAATTGTGCCTTTGTATGTGCTCCTCTTCTGTTTGCCTGCGGCGATGTTTTTCTCTGCCTCTTCTCTCCAGTCCCCTTGATGCCTTCCTCCCTTCGCTGGCCTTCCAAGGCCCCTTATCCCACAGGGAGAGGGCTGCCAGGCCACAGTGTGCATGCATACGTGTGTGTGTGTGTGTGTGTGTGTGTGTGTGTGTGGTGTTAGCTGTTAGTGGGACTTGGGTTCTCTGGCCTCCTCCTCAAGGGATATGTTGCTTTGTAAATATTTCCAGGGTAGTGCCCTGATCCTTCAGGCCCTGACAGTACTTCTGGTCCCTCCCATGAAGTCTCTGCTCCACTCTTGAGCCCCCACCTCTTCAGGATACCACTGGGCTCCAGGATACAGCCATGCCCAGCCTAGCACTGCCCTGCCTTCACTGGTATAGCTGGAGCCCAGAAGTTAAAGTGTTTCTAGGCCCTGGTCGGCTTTGAGCTGGCCCTTTACATCTTAAAGGGAAAGGATTGGAAAACTTTTCGCAGAACCTACTACACTCCAACCACTGCATACACTGGAAATTTTATCTCATTTAACCCAGTGAAAATACAGATTCAGAGAGGTTTAGAAGCTTTCCAAAAGTCACAGATCCCTGCGAGGAACTGTGAATAAAGACCACTTGTGATTGGCACCCTGTTGCATGTCCCTAGTGGTGCCACCACGTGTTTCCCTTTCCTGAAGGTCAAATGCTCTTTCTTTGCCAAGCAGAGCTGTCATCGTTCCTTATGCAGCAGCTCTATGAAAGCCACACTTTCCATGTTAAAGATGGGGAAACAGAGGCTTGTGGGACTCAGGCAGCTTGCTCAGGAATGCACAGCCTAGAAGCAGAGCCTAGAACCTCTGGACATTAAGGAAATTTCCATCTATAAACTTAGCAAACAACCAAACAGCACACATTCCATTAAGTATCAAGCTCACACTGAAACAACTAGGGAAGTCAGGAGTGATGTCACACAGCTGCCATCTCATAACTCAGGAGGCTGAAGCAGGAGGATGGTGAGTTTGAGGCTAACCTGAGCTGCCTAGTAGGACCTTGTAGCAAAATACTAAATAAGCATGCTTTTAATACCAGCACTTGGGAGGCAGAGGCAGGCGGATCTCTGTGAGTTCAAGGCCAGCCTGGTTTGCAGAGCTAGTTCTACGACAGCCAAGGCTACACAAAGAAACCCTATCTCCAAAACCAAACATGAAAGCAAAATACAAAACTAATTCTAAGAAAAATAACTTGCTCTGAAGTGAGCCAGGTCTACCTTGTGCCCTTAAACAGAGGGCACAGATGGAGGTTAAGTGAGACTGGACCAGAGAGGGATTGGTGACTATGCTTACTCTACAGTGCTTGGTGCTTGCCTGTATATTCTGCATCCATCTCCTGTCCTCCACTCATGCCCCTGTCTTCATTCCTAGCCGGGGGCATCCTCATCCTCTCCCCATCCCTATGGACTGTTTTTTCTTTCACCTAATATCTCTAGGTGGATGTTGGGCACTGCAACCAGCTGGGTAGCCATGGTGGCTGTGGGCACTGTGGCCAGTAGAGTAGCCATGGTGGACATGGGCACTCTGACCAGCTGGGTAGCCATGGTGGCTGTGGGCACTGTGGCCAGTAGAGTAGCCATGGTGGACATGGGCACTCTGACCAGCTAGGTAGCCATGGTGGCTGTGGGCACTGTGGCCAGTAGGGTAGCCATGGTGGACATGGGCACTCTGACCTGCTGAGTAGCCATGGTAGCTGTGGGCACTATGACCAGCTGGGTAGCCATGGTAGCTGTGGGTACTGTGACCAGCTGGGTAGCCATGGTGGCTGTGGGCACTGTGACCAGCTGGGTAGCCATGGTGGCTGTGGGCACTGTGACCAGCTGAGTAGCCATGGTGGCTGTGGGCACTGTAACCAGCTGGGTACCATGGTGGCTGTGGGCACTGTAACCAGCTGGGTACCATGGTGGCTGTGGAGCACTGCTGCCAGCTGGGTAACCATGGTGGCTGTGGGCACTGTGACCAGCTGAGTAGCCATGGTGGCTGTGGGCACTGTAACCAGCTGGGTACCATGGTGGCTGTGGGCACTGTAACCAGCTGGGTACCATGGTGGCTGTGGGGCACTGCTGCCAGCTGGGTAGCCATGGTGGATATGGGCACTGCCGCCAGCTGGGTAGCCATGATGGATATGGGCACCGCGGTCAGCTGAGTAGCTAGCATTAGTCCTCTGAGCTAAGAGTCACCTATTCAGAGTGAGACCCTGGGGAGGTCTCCAGTAATCAGAGGTGTCACCTGCACAGAAAGGCTGGTGACATTTATATTGGCTGCTTGTGGCTTCTCAGCTTCCTTCCGGGTTGGCTTCTGCCTGCCTTCGAGTCAGCACAAGCAAGCCTCCGGTATGAATGAATCCATACTGGCACCATGAGACCCATTCATGAAAACACCGAAAGGATCTGAGCCTGGGTGGGAGGGGATCCCTGGAGTCCAGAAGGAAGCAGTGGGCCGCTTGCTTGAGGACATGGCCAGATCTTCCCCACCTGGCAGAGGTGGCAGGCACTGCAAACATTGCCGACCAATGGAGGGGAGAAGGTGGCTCTAGACAGGCTCTTAAGGGGCCATGATGTATCTTGCTAATGACCAGCAAAAGCGGGTGGTTGACCCAGGTCAGCTACATATGGTGTGGATTGCTGGGGAGAGCGACTCTCTTGCTGTTCCCGCTTAGTGGTTTTGGGGCTCACTTTCAGCTTTTGGATCCTCTCTTCCTTTGACTTTAGCAATCTGGTTGTGAGTTCCAGGTCTGACTAAACACTTCGCTGTGTGTCCTCAGGAAGGTCAGGCTGCATATTTGAGTCTCTGGGCATGTTGGGCTCAGGGATCTGGATATTCAGAAATTGTGTGATTTACTGTGGTACACCTGACAGTGGAAGCCTAGACAAGACTCTGGGGACATCTCAGAATATGCCATATGTTCTTGTTCAGCAGGCTTTTCCCTCAAAGGCCTCTTTCTTTAACCCTGCCAACTTCAAAGAAATGCTACGGTCTCCTCTGGGATCCCACTCTGTGTTGATGGGAGACAAATCTTGGGGAGTCTGGTGTCAGAGGCAAAGTGGCCAGCAGGACTCACAATCCTGACCATGGGAGTTGGGGCTCACACAGCCCTCACCGTGGGAGTTGGGGCTCACACAGCCCTGACCATGGGAAGCGGGGCTCACACAACACTGACCATGGGAAAAGGGGCTCAAACAGCCTTCACCATGGGAGTTGGGGCTCACACAGCCCTGACCATGGGAAGCAGGGCTCACACAACCCTGACCATGGGAAGCGGGGCTCACATAACCCTGACCATAGGAAGAGGGACTCACACAGCCCTGACTGGGAATTGGGGCTCACACAGCCCTGACAGTGGGAGGAGGGGTAACTGGCAAGCCTCATACCTTGTGGCCCAGTCAGAACTTACTTCTGCTTCCATTCACAGGGAGACTATGAGGGTGACAACGTTGAGTTCAACGACAGGAAAGTAAGTCTGCAACAGCTGAGTGGGAGGCGGGGCTGGGAGGGATGAATGGCCTGAGGGGCTCTCTGTTTCCTTTCCGCAGTCCCTTTACCCTGCCCTTGACAGGCAGCTGACCATGCAAAGGAAAAATACCTCTTCGGAGCCCGCCTCTTCCTCTCTACCCTCCTCTCCTACACTGATTTCCAGGGAACCCCTATCTTACGGGGTCACCCTGTACCTTGTCCCTGGCTCCTTGTTGAAGGCACCTGGCCTCATTCCACCGACACCAGGATCTGTAAACATGGACTCAGCAGTGGCCAGTTGCCCAGAGAGCCACAGTCCCCACAGCATCCTGGGGAACTGGTTTCATGGTGTTCAAACCTAGCTGTCCTGGAATTCTTTCGAACAGGGAAGTTACCAAGCCGGAGGTCAGTGGAGTGCCCTCTGGGAAACACTACATGCCATTCACTGCTGGCCTTCCTCATTTCTCCAGCAGCCCAGAATCCTCACTCTGCCCAGGGGATCCCCATGAAGCTGCTCCTGAGTGAGCGTTTCCCTCCCCAGATGCCTGCTCTCCACTCAGGAATGCCCCTGTCCCTTGACAGCCTTCCACACTGCATTCATACAAGCCTGTCTGTTAGCCCAACAAACCCAGGCTCCTTCCTAGAGAGGGGCGTCCCTGTCCCTCTGCAAGTGGCGTGCATGCGTGCGTCCTTGTGAACTTCACAATAGAGGCTTTGTCCCCAAACCTCAGGCCTGGGGGACCTCTGGGTGGTATGTTCTTCCCTCTCAGACTCCTCCAGCCCCAGGCTTGTTTTCAAATGGTTAGTACTTGATGTAACTTGCCTGCCCGGGAATCTAGCTGAAGATTCTATCTGATTTAGCATAAAAATGACATATTTGGTTATTTTTAGTGTCCCATCTGGCATTCATCTGAGACCCCATGACCCGATGAACTCCCTATCCAATCCTGCTGGAGAAGCATGGTCCACTCCGTGTCCTAGCCAACTCTGGGTCTCCCTCACCCCTTGTGTCTCAGGCTCTTGACTGAGGTCTTTCTTCCATGGACAGCAGCAACCCCATTTTGCTCCCCCATCCCTAGCCCCCTGCTTGCCCCAGAACACAACCTACTAGTTGTCATGCTGGTCATAGTAATTTGGATGACAGTCACACCATGTCAGGAATAGCTGTTACTTATTCAGATAACTTCCTGGCTCTGCTAAGTGTCAGGTTCAGCAACATGGTTCCAGGTTGTTCAGGCCCAACTATTTAACTCTCCTGGGAACACCCCACACTCCACTGAATTAAATGTCCCAGCAAAGTATACAAGGCCTGGCCCATTGAAAAACCAGAGAATAATGATGCTCAAGTGGGTGGGTGGATATAAGGAGGGATGGGTGGGTGGGTGGGTGGGTGGGTGGATGGGTACATGGATGAATGAGTAATTAGTTATATGGAAAGATAGATGCATGGATAGATGAATAAATGGATGGGTATATATAAGGATAGTTGAAAGAGTGGATGGATGGATGGATGGATGGATGGATGGATGGATGGATGATCTGGTAAGTAGATGGATATAAGGATGGCTAGATTGATGAGTAGGTAGATGGATAGATAGGTGAGTGAATGGATAGATGAGTGGATAGGTGGATGGATGGATGGATGGATGGATGATTGGTGGATGGATGGGTAGATGGACAAGTGGGCAGATGTATCAGTGAGTAGATATGATGGATGGAAGGAAGAAGGGAAGGCCAGGTAAGCATTTTGGTCCTATCGCAGAACCTCTATTCCCCCATGATGGCTCCATTCAAAGTGACTTGGTTTGAAATTTTTCCCTTTTCTGTAACAAAAACGGTGGCTTCTTCCTTGCAATTCCTGCCCTATCCATGGATAAATAGACAGGTGATGGGTGGGTGGCTGGATGGCTGTAAAGATGGGCTGGTAGATGAATGGATGAATAGGAACCCTGGGAGCCTGACGCCAGGAACCTGACAGGAGCAGAGAAACAAGTACAGCAAGGACATCTTCCTGGGCTGAGCAGTGTGGCAGTGAGGTTTCTGCCAGAGGGAGCTGTGAGCAGATCTCAGCACAGACTGGCTGCCGGCAACCTCCACCACAGCCGCAGGTAGCTGATCTTCCCCAAGACAGACCCTAACCAAAGTCAGGACACACCTGAGCCGGGGCATTGCTACAGCCAGCTGTTGGATCCTGCCGAGGCCAGAAAGGGTCCCACAGAGAAGGGGGCAGCCAGACCTCTAAGGAGGAGATTCTGGCGTTGTGGGAGATGTGCGGATGTGGCTGGAAGGAGTCTGCCCCACCACTGTCCTGGACTGAGCCCTGTCTGCTGCAGGTCACAGCCCTCCCACCCTGAGCCCTCCTCCTCCTAGGCTGGCAGAGACTGAAGTGGCAGGAGGCTTCCCCTAAGGGCTTTAGTGAATCTCCCTGTGAGCCATTTACCTGACAGCAAGGGTGAAGGAGGTTACCTCGGAGCAGGAAGAGTTCACAGTGCGGTGCTGAAGTAGAAAACAGTGTTGTCTCCCAACCTGTCAGGATGATGATGAGCCTGCAGAGGCCACACGGGCCAGCCAGAACCCAAGACATGCTTGAATCCTTCTGAGGTGGTTTTAAACAAATTCTTTCCAAGAAGCTTGCACATCTTCACCCTTGTCTTTCTTTCCCTCCCTCCTACCCCTGTCCTGCTCCCTCCTCAACTGTATCTCCCTGCTTTCTCTCCTCCCTCTCCCTCTTTCTGCCTCTCACCCCTCCATGCTCCCCCCTCTTCCTCTTCCCCTCAACTGTATCTCCCTGCCTCTCCCACCCCAAATCTCACCCTTTTCTTTCCCTGGTCTCTCACCTTCTCCTCTGGTGAACACCCCCCCCACACACACACACAGCCGTGTGTAGTCACAGATGAGCTAGAGGTTCACTACAGGGGTGCAGTGTAGATTCCTCAAGGTTGACTGGTGGCCTGCTCTGCTCTCTGGAGGGAGCTGTAGCCTTCTCCCTGTTTCCATAACCTGTGCAGATCACAGTGACACACATGAGCCATCAGGCTCCCACAGTGACCCAGGAGAAAAGAGCACCCCTTAGCCTTTGGTGCAAAGGAAGGTCTGCCTGGGGATTCCCCAAATCTACCCTGGTTTGGCAGTGCTGACACTTCCTCTCAGGTTCCTACTGGGAAGCCTCACTGAGAGTGTGGTGGTTTTCATCCTGTGTGAGCCCCATCTAGGACTTTAGGGGCCAGAGAAAGCCATGCTGGTAGGGAACTGGCAGGCACATCCCAGCCTCACAGAAGGGCTCCCTGCTCCTCACAGGTGCCTCAGTCTCTCACTTGCTTTCTTCCCTACTCCCTGGAGGGATGTGGACTGGCTGTGGGTGAAACACACAGTTCTTAATTCTCAGAGCTGGAGAAGGGTTGGACTAGCAGCTTCATTGGTAGAGTGCTTGCCCAGTTCCACAAGACCCTGGGTTCACTCCCAAGTACTGCATAAACAGGTCATGGTGGCTACAATCCTAATTAGTACTTAGGAGGAGTTGACATCAGGAACGTCAGGAGTTCAAAGTCATCCTCAGCTACACAACAAAGTCATAGATACTGCAATACACAAGAATATCTTAAAAGATAGAAAGACAGATAGATGATAGATAGATAGATAGATAGATAGATAGATAGATAGAAGGGCCCCCTCTCCCCTTGAGGCTGATACATGTGTGGGTCATGCTGCCTACCTGTCTTTCATCTCCAAAGAGTCACATGAACCAGTCATCCCCATCTGGACCTTTTGAACTGGGAGAGAGCATCTCAGGAGCCTGGGAATCTCAACCACTGATGGGGAGGCTAAACAGACAGGGCACTAAGGTCTGCAAGAAAATGGCCTGCTGTGTTCCTTGCCTGCAGACAGCAACCATCCTGCCCCATCTAAAAGATCCTTGATGTCTGAGATCAGGACCCCAATTCTGCAACCTCCTAAAACCCTGATTTCCTCCCAAAAGGTCCCAGCTCCTAGTAGTCATATGAGACTCAGCTGTACATATTCAGGGAATCCATTTGTCCAGTCCATATGAATGGCTGCACATCTGGGAACAGAGACCCACCTCATCCCAATTTTTGAATCTGAATGTTAAAGGGCTGGGGAAATAGCTGAGTTGGTGAAGAACTTGTCTTATAAGCACAAGGACCTGAATTCTATTCTTGGAACCTGTTGAAAAATATGTCAATGCAGCAACTTGCAAAGGGAAACAGGGGGGTGTCTGGGGTGCTGCGGACAGCCAGCCGTGATCTCTAGGCTAACAAGAGTTCAAAGGAGGTGGATGGCCTTCCTACAGATGACATCCAAGCTGTCCCCATGTGTCCACATGCACATATATGTACACACATTTGTACACGGGCACACACGATGGCATTTAAATAAATGTAGTTGAATGTTACAGAACGAAGACACACACAGCAAGCAACAGAGTATGAGGCAGGGACCCATGGGAATCCACAGAGCCATCCCTACCCAGTCTCCCTCCTGTTACTATTCTGATGCCAACAGAGTAATTTGACTGGGTATCAGACAGTCCTGTCCCACAAAAGATTGACAGAGGGCTCTTAGGAAGAATGTGGGGACAGAGCCCAGGATAGGCATGGATGGTGTGTGCCAAGGAGGTTCTCTGGGTCCCCTTACCATCCGATCTGTACACAGGCGTAATGACAATACACAGACAGCTGTTCTGGGGTTTGGGCCACTCTGTTCTTTCCACACACTTGGAGTCTTTTTTAATCTGTGGTTCCAACACCATCCATACTTTCTAGATGTATGTTTGTTGAGGTCATTCCTGGGATAGATCCACTGCTCTGGCCTTGTTCAAGGTGATCATGAGGATGTGGTCAGGAGTCCCACAGTGACCTTCTCAAGCCCCACCGGTAGGGTTACCTTAGGCAAGCACCTCTTGGCTGGCAGGTAAGGCTGGCAGCTCTTTTGTGTGAGTATAGCAGGGCAGAAGGATGTTGTGCAAGAGTCTTGTCTCTGCCTACCAGCTGAGGTCAGTGTAGTACATCAGCCTCATTGTAGAACCCAAAGCAAGATGCTCAGAAACCCTTGGCTGTGTCAGCTTCTGGGATTGGGAGAAGAGGTCATGGATGCTTTAGCGGGCTCCTTCATCCCCTGCTATAACCTTAGACTTTACACTTGGGAGGGAGTTTGGCCTGAGAAGAGGGGCGGGACAGCCATCCTCCCTTTCCATAGGCAGCTGTTTGGGGGGTTTAGGCCTCTCTCTCCTGCCATGAAAGACCCTGCACCTAGAGAGTATGACACCGGAGCTTGGTGTGAATGCAAGTTAGTAATGTGGGTCCTGGGGATCAAATTCAGGTTGCCGTGGCAAGCACCTTTACGGGCTGAGCTATGTGGCTGGCCCTGGTCTCTTGACAGGTGTTTATCAAAAGCCTAATCTCAGGGGATGAACCTCGTGTTTTCTGTATGCCAGATTTTTTTTTTCAATTTTGATGTTCATGTCTCTCTGCTTGAACGCTGGTGGTTTAGATAATAAACAATCTGGTGTCTGACCTAAGTGACCTCTTGATGTCAGATGTTATAGATGAATTCCCAATTCAGTCATAAGAAGCTGAGATTCCATAACCTTCTGGAAGCATCTTTCCTACCCCTGGTTGAACCCAGAATGTCAGTTCCTTCCCTGGCATTCTCTAAGCATTTGTTGAATGAATGAATGAATGAATGAATGAATGATGGAGAGGCTAACTGAAACTCTGAAGCTCTCCCAGGGAGCAGCGTTAATGTGTGACCTTTCATCAACTCCTTCTCCATTCTTTCCTCTCTCCAGCTCCTATATGAGGAATGGGCAAGCTATGGGGTCTTCTACAAATATCAGCCCATTGACCTGGTCAGGTGAGTCAGGGCACCTGTCCTCTTAGGCAGTGGCTGTGTGAAGTGAGACTCAAGGCCATGTCCCGGATGGTAAAGTCTCTGCTCATGTCAACTGCTCCAGATATTCAGCCACATGGGAACCAGTTTGTACTTGAAGGCTGTATGGGCCGTTGGGTCTCCAGGAGTCAAGACAGCTCCAACAGGGTTTGTGACACTGCCTAGCCATGTCTATTGGAGGACCAGCATTTGGCCATTCCCACTGTGTGCCCTTGAGTTCTCCTCAGCTTGGCCAGCAGGATAGCTGCTGAGATCACCTGCTTTGGGGTGTGGAAGGGAAGAAGTCTCTGCCTCAAGGTGTGAGAATTTGTAATCAGGTTTGAGAGAACCTGCAGGACAGCCTGCGAGGCTGGCAGGAGGGGCAGCTAGTTGGGCTTCAAATCCTGTGGCGGCTTGGTAGATGTGAATGGTGACAATATTGGGAGGGGCAGCAGACTCTCAGCGGGGAGTGGTTAATTTACTTGATACCTCTGACAAAGTTTTATTTGTTGCTTATACTGATTGGGGCTTGGGATGGAACCCACAGCCATGGGGACACACCTGGATCACCAGTTAAGGCTTCACAAATGGAAGTGCACCCTTAGTCAGGGCGCAGAGGAGAGGCAGCATCAAACCTGGTGACACAGACGTGTAATCCCAACACTTGGAAGACTGAGGCAGGAAGATCAGGATTTTAAGGCCAGCCTGTATAGTGAGGTCAAAGGTAGCCTGAGCCAAAGAGAAAAATCCAGTCTCCAAGATCCAGCCCAGCTGGTAGAGTGCTTGCCTGTAGCCCTAGGTTCAATTCTCAGCACAGAGTAAGCTAGGCATGGCAGTGCACACCTGTAAGCCCAGTAATTGGAAGAAGAAAAGAGGAGAATCACAAGTTCAAGGTCATTCTCAACTATATATTGAGCTTGAGTTCAGCCTGGGATATATGAGAAAGAAAGAGAGAGAAAGTATGAATATTTTTAGGGTTACAGTTTAGTGGTAGTACATTTGCAGGTAGGTAGGAGCATATACAAAGACTAAAGAGCACCCCAAACCTGATGAGGTGTCCTGGAGCCTCACTGTCCGACTCTCAGGCAGAAGAATCAGTGGTCCAATTGGAGTTGTTCATTGTCGGGAGGGGGGCAGGGTGTGATGTGTTTCGTGGTCTAGGGTGTGATGTGTTCCGTGGTCTAGGGCGTGAGTGCATCCCTTTGTTTCTCGGCGTAGGAAATACTTTGGCGAGAAGGTTGGCCTGTACTTTGCCTGGCTTGGCGCCTACACCCAGATGCTCATCCCTGCCTCAATCGTGGGTGTCATTGTCTTCCTCTATGGATGTGCCACTGTGGACGAAAACATCCCCAGGTAGGCACCAACCCTGCGTTTTGTGGGAGACACGATGATGAGGGGCACCCATGTTCTGAGACTACCCAGAGGATCTGAGCTCTCACCCCCATGACCAGCTGCAGGACCTTCTTGGCACTGCCTCTGCGTGGAGCTGTGCATTGGAGCATTGTTGCTGGTTCTGATCAGTAGAGAACCCCGTGTCTGTCGTCTGGGGAGGAGGTGGGGTTTTGTCAGACCAGAAAGACCATATCTGGCCAATTTTGCCTCTGTGGTGTTTTATTGTAATTATGTGTATATGAGTGTATTGTATGTGTGTTTTATTGTGTGTATGAGTGTATTGTATGTGTGTGCACCATGTGTGCTCAGTACCCTTGGTGGCTGGGAGAGAGCAGAAGATCGTCCTGGAGCTGGAATTAAAGATGGCTGTGAGCTGCCACATGGGTGCTGGGACTCTAACCCAGGACCTCTGGAAGATCAGCCAGAACTCTTAACCACTGAGCTATCTCTCCAACCCCTTCCATAATGTTTTAATATGTGAATAAGGCATCTGCTATTCCTTTCACCTGAATACCCTCCCCAGTTCCCTCAGTCTCAAATTGGAGAAAGCTTGTCCCTGTGTCCGCATGGACAATACCAGGCTTGATAATGCCAGGATAATGCAATGCATACTGGGGTTTGCTGATGGGGCAGACGAAAATGGCTGAGACTTGGAGGTGGCAAGGCTGGTTGTCAGCTGCCAGAGCTCAAAGCTTGTGAGGGTCAGGTAGTGGAATAGGGGTGTTCCCATGATGTCCCTGAATAGAAGGGGCCCTGCCAGCTAGGGTGTGGACTCCCCAAGAGAGGGCGCCAGGTTTTTTTACTCTGGCAGCTCCGTCTTCCTAATTTATATGGTCAGAAAAGCGGTGACCAGCGGCATGGACGAAGCCAATACCCAGGCCTATCCAATCCTGGCTTCTGCCCCAGTTGATCTTGCATGGCAGCCAGAGGCATGGAGTCCCCCTTGGAGTCCATCAGACAAGGCTGAGGTCTCAGGGAGGTGGTGGCCAGTGACATCACCCTGTGCACCCTGCCCCACCTATCCTCTCTGAGTACTGGACCTTCAGACTGTATTTCTTGATTTTGGCTGAGCTTAAGGCCCCCAGAAAAAGGGCTTTTGTCTGGCTGCTGGCATTTGTATTGGACGCTGAGGCTGGTGTGGGGGTGGGGGGGCACAACTCAGACAAACTGTAAGACTCGCAGGCAGCAGGCAGGCAGGCGGGCCGAACTGTGCCTTGGCACCGCCTGGTGCCGGTCTTGGGCCAAACAGACAGCATGACCCTGAGGTGCATATTACACAGCAGGAATGGCCTTCTACCCACCAGCTCCTAAGGAGAGGGAGCTCAGACCAGACCAGTAACAACTGGAGTCGTGCCTGCTCATCTGTCTCAGTGAGAGGAGAGAGATGGACCCTGAAGGACCAAGCCCTGGGCATCTGGTGACATTGCGCTCATTTAAGGCCCCAAGAAGATGGCCTTGAAAGGGCCATCCACATGCTGGTCCATTTTGCTGCACCTTCCCAGCCTCCCGACAGCATTGTACCCCTTAGACTCAGCTTGTCTTGGTAGACTGGGAAACCAAGGCAACTGGACTCAGCACCCTTCCCAAGCCTGCATGGTCACACACACCAGAGCTGAGACTTCAGAGCCTCAGGCCCCAAGGCACATGGTTCCTCTTTCCCGGTGCCCGCCTCTCTCCCACGTTTGTGTGTACATCACATCTGCCCAGATACTCCACAATCACTGTCTTGGTTGCGGTTAGCCTGTTCGCATCTTTGCATCTGTGGTGAGTGGCCAACACCCCTGATGCACAAGAAGAGAATGGAGCTGGTGCCCTCTGCCTTGGGCACAGAAGAGGGTCCCTGAGAGCCAGCGCAAGTGTGTGTGTGTGTGTGTGTGTGTGTGTGTGTGGTGTGTGTGTGTGTGTGTGCATCCTCTGAAACTTAGGAAGCCACCAGCAGCAGAGGAGGAGCTTCGTCACTAGTCTGTGTGGTGTTCCCTGACCTGAGGGGCTAGCACACTGCAGATCACACCTTCATTAATGGGAGCAGGGGCCTGAAGAAGAAAAGTACATTCCTTAGGGCCACGCAGAAAGGTGAGACTTGAACCCCAATCTCTGAATGAGAGCCCTGTATACACACACACACACACACACACACACACACACGTTCATGTGGATCCAGAAATCTGAAGAAGAAGAAAAGAAAGCTAAACTCCTCACTTCAGCTTTCTCCTGGATGGCCATCTGATCCTGGGAATGAGTTCTCCAGCCCGTGCATCTATTTATAGATCAGAGTCAGGTCCAAGTTCAAAGGAAGGAGAGAGTCAGGGCAGGCTGTAGCTAGAGGGCAGTATGCCCGCTCCCCTCCTAATTTACCAGAAATGTTGAGCCTGAAGCTAGAGGTCTTGACCATGGTCACAGAGCTCAGAACAGTGTAGAACAGCCTAGAAGCCTGACCTTAGCAGGGGGGTGTGTGACCCTAGGAGCCATTCTAAGCACAGGGCTTTGTTTAGAGAATGGGGTTCAAGTTCTACCTTGCTGCGTGGCCCTAGGAATTTACTTTCTTCTCTAGGCTCCTGCTCTCAGTCACAAAGGTGGAATTGCAGTGTGTTAGCCCCCAGGCCAGGGAACACCACACAGGCTAGTGATGAGGCCCCTCCTCTGCTGCTGGTGGCTTCTAAGTTTGTTCCAGCATATGTAGGGGAGGGCCTGGGTCCTCATCTCCTGAAGCATTGCTTCAGAACCTAGCCAAGCTTGTGCACCCACTCCATTGACCAGGACCTACCATCCTGAAGCCTCCTGTCTCTTGAGTGAGCCCCTCGGGGTGCCTGGAGACCTGGCTGCTTAGGGACATACTCCTTTGAGTCCTGGTCACCCTTTCTTCATCTTAGTAGCTGTCCAGTTTGCCCTGTAAGGGTCATGGCCTGATGCCCAGTGCTACCAGGGAGTCACCCAGCATGGGTCTGGCCACAGTGAGGGCCTCCTGGCTGCAGTTCACTCCCTTCCTCCCTTGGGCTTCCAGGGCCTGACCACAGAAGTAACTGGCCTCCATGCGTAGCACAGCTTTGACAGGACCTGGGGACAGTAGGAAGGCTGTCTGGGGATCCTGGCCGTAGAGGTGTCAGGGGTGTTGACCTCAGGTATCACTGTCCAAGGTTCACCCCAGAGGGAACACGCTGGTGATTCTTTCTGCCCCAAGAAGGATATGGGCATAAGTGGGTGTTTTAGAACTGTCTATGTCAGGGATCTGTTCAAGGTGAAGATCCAGGGCCCTACCCCCAAACCACGGGAGCTTATGTCGGACAACATCAGGGTCTTAAGTGGAGCCTGGGGCCCTGAAACTCATGGTTAGGTATGGGTCACATGCCTGTGAGGCTTGTGGCAGGGAGAGGGGACAGAGTGGCTGCAGCTAGCCAACATGCCTGGACTGTGACTGCCAGGGCCACCCTCCATGGCCCCTGGGAAGTAGACTGAACTTGAGGCCACCTCTATCTTGCAGCATGGAGATGTGTGACCAGAGACACAATATCACCATGTGTCCCCTGTGTGACAAGACCTGCAGCTACTGGAAGATGAGTTCAGCCTGTGCCACGGCCCGTGCCAGTCACCTCTTTGACAACCCTGCCACTGTCTTCTTCTCTGTGTTTTGCAACTCTCTCAACAAC